GCCTGGTGTGCGTGAGGCACTGGATTCTATTCTCGGCACCACATAAAAATAAAATAAAGGTATTTAAAATAAATAAAATAAATAAAATAAACCACTTCATCCCTGTAGTGATACAAAATTTTATTACAGGACTGGACTTACAATTCCTCTGTGCAGTTTATTTTGGTACCTTGAATATTCTTTACTTTCAACTGTACACGTAAAACACAATTAACTATTGACATTAACACAAGGGTACACAATGACTTAAGAAAATATACCCATTGAAGTTGTTTATATTGTCTCTGAAGTGATAAGACTGTATCAGGGTATGCCTGAGCACATCAATAATATCCTCCAAAAGATAATGAGCTGTTGTTCCTACATTACCTAAAATAGTGGAGAGCACAGCTCATGCAGTAAAAAAGAAATCATCAAATACTTTGTAAAGAACCTGGAAAAATTAACAGTATTTTAGTGTACTTTTATCTAATAAATTGTAAAGATCAAATTGGAAAGCAATAATAGAGCTATACTATCAATATTAACTCAAGAAAAACTAGAAAATCCTTTGTTATATTACTCTGCATCTTTAAATATCTTCTTGTTTATTGTAATTTTATAAACACTGATAGAGTGTCTATCATAGTCCACACTCAATATTGGAGATGTATAATTGAAGAAGGCTTGGTGACTCATGAAACTGTCATAAGTTCCAGGACCCTCACTCTTGTTTCCCACCCCTATCCATGGCTCTGCCTCCTCCAACTCCTTCTCAGGGGCTGCGGGATAAGGCACAAAAGACAAAATCTAGGTTTAGTTTAGCAGAATATGACCATAAGTTTTTCAACTGACAACTCCATTTGAAAGAGAGAATGATATTTCATGTTTGCCTTAAAGGAATTAGTCTTATAAAGATGCTGTAGGTCTCCAAAATTTGTAATTATTTATTAAACTCTATCATTAATTTTACTTCTACTCATTAATACTACGACATACTGAGTGGTTATCAAAGGAAAAGCCTGTTACATTGTCCAATGCTTTATTCCATAATGAGTCTCATACTTATCAAGTTGAGTCCATATGCTGAAATAAACTGGGAATATGGTGATGAAGAGAGAGAGAGAGAGAGAGAGAGAGAGAGAGAGAGAGAGAGAGAGAGAGAGAGACGATGTCTCCCATTCTAGTAGGAAGAGGGAAAAAAAACCTGATGCATGCAGTCAAATCAAGTCATGGCAGAATGTGGACAGCACTATTGCAAATATATCTACACAAACAAATGGTCAGAAGAGCATACTGCTTTAGTATTAGAGCTGGAATCCTCAGGAGGGCACGCACCACGTCCTCTTCTGGGATCAGCGACATCAGGTTTTGGTGAGCTGAACTGACCAGTGGTGGAGGAATTTGTTCAACAAAAGCCAATACCAGGCGCCAGGGGCTTGCTTCTTTCTTTCCTTTGTCCTCCCCAGGGAGTCAGCCCTCACATTTTCCAGTAAGCAAATACAAGAAAAGTGAACAACACAGAGAGGCGCATATGAGAGAGGCTGCTATGGCTTTGACACACGGTGTCACCCAAAAGGTTCATGTGGCAATGCAGGAATGTTCAGGGGTAAAATGATTAGATTATGATAGATTATTACCTGATGAACGGTTAATCCATTTGATGAATTAATAACTTAAATGGCTAATGAGTAGTAACTGCAGGCAGGTGGGGCCTGGCTAGGGAAGGTGGTCACTGGGGATGTACC